GATCTAGACAAACTCATGAGAAATAAGATTACACCCCCTTCGGTGTTTTGACTCACTGAAAAACAATCAAAATGAGATTAAATATTTCACATTTATACAAGGACTTTAAGAAAAGGGAGTCCATAGGTAACTTCCTTCTCAAATATATAATTAATATGCCCTGGTTTTCATTAAAATAGGATCATTAAGGTTTGAAACCATTATACAAGACATATTTAGGCAAGGAAGTGATTGTTTCAACTGTTTTTTTTCATTTAACTGCACAATTAACTGCCCTTATACTTGGAATGAATGAATGAGTCTTCTTGGTTATCACAGTCTTAATGCCATGGCTTACCTATTAAGACCCCTGGGAGTAAGGTTATAATATGTAAATTAATGGCTCAATCCAATTGTCAATTAATACAAATTTGGTCATTGCATGCTGTTGAATGTCTATATCAACAGCCTTTTGCTGCAGTTTTCTCTTTTTTCCAAAGTGAAATACCCAGATAGCTCATCAGCCTTTCTATCTCAAGCAACCTTTGTGGGCAAGACCTGATTGTATGTGATTTTCTCCAGGAGCACAGACATACTATCATGTCAATTGCACCCTCCTTTTAACTGATCCTGTAAAAAATACTCAGGACATACATTTACCCCTCACTGGTAGATTTGTTCCAGGATATCTCTCCCTTCTCTTGAAGTATCACAGTTCTCACATGCCCAGATCCCTTATATAAAATGACATGCTATCTGCATATAATCTGTATATGTCATCTTAATTTTAAATCATCTCTAAATGTCATGTGAAATAGTTGTTATGTGTGCCATTTAAGAATTTAAGGAATCATGACAAGAAAAAAATCCCTGGACATGTTTGGTACAGTTGCAGTTTTTAAAAATACTTTGATTCACTGTTGCAAAAACCATGGAAACTTCACAGATATGAACGACAGGCTATACACATACTCAAAAGGTTAGTTCATAAGAAAAGTAGGGTCCCTTGCTGCACATGTGGTACAATGCCTTAAACATCTTAACTATCTGGTAAACTGAGAGCTGCTTCCTCCCTGCCATGGTCAAAAGTACCTACTGATGCTCTTAGCACCCACATTAAAATGAGCATCTTTTCGGCATTTTTGAGTTTTGTAGGCACTTATAAATTCTGTCACACTTACATCATTACTTGCAAAGTTCATCATCTCAGCAAAGGCTCTAGCAATTTTCAAATGCAATAAATACTACAGGCACTCTTATTAATACCATGCTTGCTAGAGACTCCATCAGGGGAGAAGCTTTAGCAACTTACTCTAATGCCTGCTTTCCTCCCTGATGGCCATTTGTTGTCTACTATCTTCTACCTAAGATAAAAACAAACAGACACAAAACTCATGCTATGTCTTTAGAGGGGCTATTGCTGGCTTCATACTGGTATTTCCTACAAAGAGGTCTTCACAAATCCTTAGCACATAGCCTTCTATTTACAGCCTTGGCTAGGCTTTGGAATCAGTACCCTCAAGTCCTCACAGCTGTTAAACCTTTTGCTACAGGACTGAGCCAAGATCTGGGGCCTGTGGCATGAGACTTGCAGGTGAGAATGGACACCTCTGTCTTCAGTGCTTTGTCAGATTCTGTGCTGGATGAAGTCACCTCTTTCCCAAATTCATTGTCTTCCTAGAGACCCCTTTAGGTTCAAGAAAAAGAGGAGTTAGGGCCTATTATAAACACAACATTCCTCTAAGAATTTGTCATCACTTAAGCAGGATGTCCCTGAAAAAGAAAAAAAAAACTAAACCTAAAGATCAGAACAGTTAAATCTTATATTGTAGCTAATGCAGTGGGTGTCCTAATTATAAATCAAGGCTGAACCAAGACCCTCCTTTTTGCTTTCAGAGTTCCAGGCATTGCTGAAGTCAAGGAATTCCTTTTCCTTTGTCTGAATATACAATACTGAGCTCTAGAACAAGACCTTATTTTTTTGTAATGGTGATAATTGAATGCACTCTACCCCTGAGCTGCAACCCTCAGCCATACAAGTCACCTGATGGAATCTTCACTATCTTAATAGATCTCTTATCCCAAGTTTAATCAAGGAAGCATGGGACTGTTCAAATATTTTCCTTACCAAGATCAAGAATAAATTATAATACAATCTTCTACATGCTTGATCGCTGGCAACAATTAAGCTACATGTCTCTTCTGTTTCATGCTTACAAGTTAAGAATACAACAATAAAGCTCTCTTTTCCTTTAATGATCAACAAAGTTCCACACAAAATGCAAACTGCCAGCTGGGCACCGAAACCCTTACTCTAGTCCTACACCACAAGTCCAATACAAACTCTAAGTGTCCTCCCCGTTCTCTTCTCTAGAAATTTCAGGCCAGCTTTAAAGGTTTCTGAACCCCACCCCCACCCAACCCCCCACTCCATCCTCCACCACCCAAAAGGCCTCTTGTGTTAAGCAATGAACCTTTAAATGTCTGGTTGATCTGACATGATATCATCAGCCTTTTTTGCTTTTTTTTTTGAGACAGGGTTTCTCTGTAGCTTTGGAGCCTGTCCTGGAATTACCTCTTGTAGACCAGGCTGGACTCGAACTCACAGAGATCCGCCTGCCTCTGCCTCCCGAGTGCAGGGATTAAAGGCATGCGCCACCACTGCCTGGCTCATTAGTCTTTTATTGAAAGCAAATTTTGTATTGGAATGCATTGTGTATCTTCAAAGTGGCCCCAACAGATGACCTATCTTTGTCACTGCAACTAATCTGCATCTTAAGCTTCTGGCAACCGTCCCAGGATAGAAGATGGACAGCTGCGACTCCCCTGGAAGACTGTCATGAACCAGTTTCTCAGCTAAGGTTCTGATGTGACCTCAGAGCTACAGAATGCACAAGCACTCCACTGTGGCTCCTCTGCAACAGCGTGTCCCACAGTTTATATCACAACCACCATGCCATTGTTCTTTGTATTTGACGACAGAAAGACAAGAACCAAGGAAGCTGTGAACCCTGTGACTCAGTTTTTGTAGTGTTAAGTCCTAAACTGATAACATCTACAAGTAGCTCCTCCATCCAATCAGTCAGGCCTTGGCACTGTATGTGGGAGCTTGTTATTACATACTCTTACTGCTCTGTCACTGAGTAGAAACTAAACTAATAGAACTAGCATACTTGTGTCTGTTCAGCAGTTGCTCACTGACTAAATACTGAGCATTTAGTAAATACCATGTCCTTCAACCATTTGGATCTCGGAAGCCTTCACTGAGTTATCTTATGTAGCTCTGTAGGCCCAATCTTGCACCTAAGGAAAAAAAATCCCATATTATATATTATGAAGGTAAGAATTTAGGAAGCTATATTAGAAATGGAAACTCTGAGAAAGTAAAACCATGATTTATTAAAATACCCTCCTGAATAAAGAAAACTGTGATCCAAGATCATGGTGTCCTTATGGTGTGTCAGATTTTTTTTTTTTATTTTCTAGAAAGCAAGTACAGTTACACTGTTGCTTTGTGTTGTTTGTTTGGGGCTCTTTTGGAAAGGTATTAGCTGAAACAATCACTAATATCATAAGCATTTTTTAGGTACCATGAGTACCATGGTCCAGACTCTGGGAATAAGGAAGAACCCAGTTAAGAGTCTCAAGAGCCAGCAGACCTTACAGTTCGACTGCATGAGGATAATATGAGTGGGATACAACTGACCCATGTTCCCAGTACCACTGGGGTACTGGGAACATGCTGGTATACTGCACTCAGAGATAAAGAGCCTCTCAGAAGCAGTGGTTTGCAAAGGGAGGGACTATAAATACCTTCTGTATTTTCCATGTCGGAAAACGGAAGGTTAGACAGGTAAAGTGACTTGGCAGAGGCCGTGATAGTGTCTGGTTTAATCATCTTTGAGCCACAGCCTATCAGGCTCCAAAGCACTATCTTACCACTAGCAGCACCTCAAGTTCCCCAAGAATCTGCTTGCCTCCAAATCTGAAATCTCCTCAAATCAGCTGAGCCAAATTAGCAACCAGCTTTCAGAGGAAGAGGGGCATTTCTCAGGGAGCCCTTCTAAAGCAAAGCATTAAGCAGCTTGCATGAGACTGGACTCTAGGGGAAAAATTTCCTCTCCCCTTTTCCAGGAAAACAGATGATTCAAGGCAAGTTCTTGCCCTTGGGATTAGGAACACTTAACTCTGAGCAACAAAGGGTGCAGCTTCCCATTTCTTCATCAGGAGGAAATCATCCTTCATAGGAGCCTGCATTGCAGCTTGAACCGCCTTCCTGCTCCTTAACAAGTGTCAGGACTGAACCGACTCTGTGCATAAATGCCCACCTTCAGTTATTCTGACCCATGCCTTCATGTCCGCAGTCTGGGTGCCCTGCAGTCAGGAGTCCTCACTGTTTTCTTCACAAAGAGTGTTAACGTGACATGCAGCACTCGTGTCTACAACTAATTGATTTTGTTCCCCCAAGAAACTATTCAAATGGAATTATGTGGACGTTTAGATAATAATGTCCTAGAGATCCGGTCCCTTGATTTCACACTGGTATGAATTAGAATGTGAATGGTGTCAAAGCCTCTCCTCAGCACATCAGAACCAACCACCGTTTCCCAATAGTTATAAATTAACCATGATTTATTGAAATGTTGTTCTGAATAAAGAAAAATATGACCAAATAGTTGTAAATAATAATTTAACTGTTACTATTTCAGGAGGCCAAAGCAAACAAACAAAAAACAAAACAAAACAAAAAACCCCTCCAAGTCCTGGTCTGTACCACGGGTGTAACTAGCCATTCCAGGGCATGTCTCCTTTTATTTCTGTGAATTTGACATCTTACACCAGAAGCAGTATCCTGGAGCCAATACTTCCAAATCATTCTATAAACTTTTCCCTCCTCACCTTTTTCTCTCTACATTACATACTAGACTGAAGTAGAAGAATTCCAACATTTCCAATGATTTTGATCAACATTTTTATTATGGAAAATGTCAAACATACAAAAGCAGAGACGAACATATATAATGAACATCATGTAATCATCATTCAGCTTCAACAATCTTAAAGGCCAATCTTGTTTGAATATGTCCAGTGAATTGAATATCTAGATGTATTTTGAAGCAAATCCCAGACATTATATCATTTCAACTGTAAATATTTGAATGCAGATAAGAATTCTTGTTTTCAGTATAACAGTATTATAATAATCAATGTGAAGCCAATACTCAAAATATTCTAGTTCTCTGATAAATTCATTCATCTTATAGTCTGATCAAATCAGGATCCAAATAAGATACATGCAAGTATTGATCACTCTCTGAAGCCTTTTTCAATTCACAGGTTCAACCTCTACCCTTTCCTTTCATCCTTGTGACTTACATATTGAAAAACTGGATCATCTTGTCCTGTGCTTTCTTGAAGTCAGGATTCTATGAATCTCATCTGTTTGATATACAGCAAACTGTTTCTCTATCTCCTGTATTTTCCATAGAGGAGAAATTAGGTCTATAGGCACAGATAAATTTAGGTTCAAAATTTTGGCAAATGTAGGAGGTACATAATGTCTGGGATAACACAGACATATGCATAAGAATTTTTGCTACTATCTCACAGCTGCCTTGAAATAGTTATGTGACACCTGATATACAAAAGCCACATAGATGCTAGAGATTAGAAGAGGGATGTTTTACCATTTACTACCATTATAAAATATTAAACAATATTCAGTGATGCCTACCATAAATCAAGTACTCTATGCTAGATATAAAAAGACTACGAAAGCAAGTTCATTGCATTCAAGGTCATATCTGATGGGGAAATACAGACAAAAGCACAAAAAGGCCACAGGTGCCAAATAGAATTCTGTACAGATACAGTGGTAGTGCAACAACCTGAAGAATAGCCAGTGTTAATAACAGGAAAGAAGTGTCCGAAAGCATAGGGTGAGCTGTGTCCTTGGGGATGTCAAAGAGCTCACCTGTGCTTCACAATTCCATTCATCACTGGGTTCACATACTTGATTCTTTCAAAGTAAATCTGAACAACATTTATTCCATTCACCTAAAAAAAGATAATCTGATTAATAAGGTTTTAGTGGTTTGTCCATTCCTGTAGCGTCTAGACAACAAATATTTACTGAGGATTTAGTACGCTTCATCAACCCTTCACACAGGAAAAGCCTGCAGTGAATTATCCAATGTAGTTCCACTGTGAGTTATCCAGTATAGTTCCACTTGTCAGCACAGGAGAAAGCCTAAAGAAATCAATTCTCCCAGGTATGTTACAAAGCTTAAAAGGGAAAACCAGGAATTCACTGGTAGTAGACATTTCTAGTATGAGCGTCAATGAGAAATGTCTCCGAATTTTAGCCCGTTTTGAGGCCCTGGAGTTATGCAGGATTCAGGTTGGGTCCTAGTCCTCAAAGTTCATATTCTATAAGGAAAACAGTTAGTTAGGAACATAACTACAATAGGTGATTCCACAAAAAGATCTCTGAGAACAACAACAACAAAAAAAACTTAGCTAGCTGTTGGTATTACATATGTTCTAAGCATCTTTTCCTTCCTTCCCAGCTAACAACTACTAAGGGAGACATTGTTTGTTCTTAGAAAGGAGCACCCAGAAAGGGAAGTGGGAAAAGAAGCAATTCCAGATCCAGAGCCTGTTGGACCATGTGTCCCAGAAGCACTGCTACTCATGCTGACTGGTATTTTACAAGCTGCCTGTTCTTCTTCTTACACACTTCCTCTTTTACTGATGCTTCTAAAGAAAGCTTTGAAACAGTTCTTTCCAAGGAAACCATACCAAGGAATTATTGGTAGCCATTTTTCAGCCCTTCTTGCAAAAACAATCTGAACAACAAAACATGAGTTTCTAATGCATCTTATGCCTGTATCAAGCATATCAAAATTACTTTGACTTCAGCATGACTTCAAGCTTTTTGAAGGTTAAACATAGGCACTTGTCCAGTGGAGGGAAAATCAGCCCTTTAAGACTACATGTTGAAAATAAATTTGTGTTATCTTCTGTAAAAGTCTTAATTAACTTTCATCAGTACACTGGATTGGGGAAAATGGGATGAACTATAAAATTCAGCGTACATTTTCAGTGTACTTGGCATGTAAAATGCGTAGGCACTAAGCAACCACTCCAGGGAGAAAAACCACACCTGATTGGCAAACTTTTGGAGACTATGAGATAGAGACAGGATTTCCTTTCTTTCTGTGTTGGCTGTTCTATCGGAACTTCCTGAAATGAGTCTATTAAAAAGACAAGATTATTTGGAGGCTTTCATTTATTTGTTTTCTAGAATGAACCCCAGAAAGGATATTTAGCTGTATATATTTGAGTTTACAGAGTGATAACAGTGTTTTGCATGCAATATGGAAATGGAAAGTACTGGAAGTTTTGAAATTGCATAAATAATCTCTGTAGATCTCAGACAAAAATCTCAGCAAACTTTACTGCTCAATCCAAATGCTGTTAAATGAAACAAAGTATGATTAATAGAACAAGACTGAAGTTTGCTTAATTCAGCAATCTCCTCAAATTAGTCAAATAGAGTTCAAATGTCAAAATATGATACTGTGTTGTTGACCCCCCAACATATACCCGGCATTTATAGATGAAAGGTATTTTTATGTATACAATACAGAAATAAAGCAATAATCCAGTTTCTGTAGGATTGGTATATATCTTAACAGAGCTTACTGGGAATATCTATTTAGTAATTTAGATTACTCGGTAATTAGTGAAGATCATATTCAATAATTTGGCATTATTTAGGATATCAAATTACATGCTTGGTTTATAAAAGCTATAATTTTGGTAAACAGGTTTGTACTCATTTCTTTACCTATCAATTTTGTTTACTACACATATTTTACATAGATGGATTTATGTAACAAAACCAAGAGGGGAAAGGGTGATATTCAATTCAATGTGTACCAAATTTGGAAAGCAACCTATAGAATAAAATGTTAAATTAGTGTCACCGTTCATGTATATTTATTATAGGATTGTGGAATACATTTAGAACGTTGATATACCCTCCAGTCAAATCCACTGTGAAGTCTGTGAATGAGAAAACAAGGGGGAAAAAACACAAAAAGATGCCCCCCCGTTACCCCTCCCCCGCCAGCTGGTAGGACTCTAAAGGCCTCCACTAAGAAACAAACCACAAGGCTGACATCAAAAGCGCGCACGCACACTCACGCAAAACACATGTAAAGGGTGTTGAAAGAAAAAAAAGACCCAAACAAAAACATCACACGCGCGCACACACACCATCCATGAAGAGCAGGGCAAGCAGTAAGACACCTTTCACAAAATCCCATGCATCTCTGGCTGAGCGCAAGATTTTTACAGTGTCACCAAGAAGCGATTAGAAAAGCATCAGAAAAAAAGACGTGCAAATTGTCTGCAAACAGAGCCTGGCAACCAAGACAGTTTGCAAGCGTGATTCAGAGGTCTGCCTGCCAAGGAAACAAAAGAAGACTCCCTCCTGCCCGTGCGGGCGCACTGGGCAGGAGAGGTGCTCTCCTGGCAGGCAGGAGGCAAGTGCGGGGAGGCGACAGGCAGGAGTCCGGGCAGACGGATGGGCAGGCAGGCGGGCGGGAGCAGCACATACTAGGGCTCGCTCTCTGGCTGGGACGGGGCGGCCGAGTTTCCATTAGTCGGGGAGCCGCCCAGCTTCAGTTTCTCCAGGTACTCGGCATGCACGGGCTTGTGGCACTGGAGGACCTTGATGGCATCTTCGATCTTGAACCATTCTCGCTTCCTGCCAATGCTGACCGAGTCTTCCCAATCCTCCAGCAGCTCGGTGACGGTGAGCACGTAGGTCCGGTGCTTGCGGTCCTGGTTCTGCTCGAAGACTCCCAGCAGCCGGCCCAACTTCCCCTTGACTCCCGCTTCCTCGTACACTTCGCGCACCGCCGCGCCGTCTGGCTCCTCCTCGGGCTCCAAGCCCCCGCCGGGCACGATCCAGCGGTCGGGGTAGCGGCTGCTGCTCACCAGCAGCACCTCGTCCTCGCGCTCGCTGCGGAAGCACAGGCACGCGGCTCGCTTCTTGAAGCCCTCGGGGTCGTAGGTCCGCGTCTGGTTCGGCTTGCACTTCATCCTGGGCGCCTCCGCCGCCTCTCTGGTCGCTTGCAGCTGCCAAGCGGGCCGCTGCTGCGCAGCCAAGGAGCTGCTGCAGGCAGGGAAAGGGCTGGAGGAGAGCAGAGCGGAGCGCAGCCCAGTGGACCAGAGCCGAGCGGAGCCCGGGGAGACGAGGCAGGGGTGGGCGCGGGGGCGGGGGCGAGCCAGCGCATCAGTCAGTCCGCGGGGCGGGCAGTGCCAGCCAGGTGCGCCGAGGGTCGCGAGCCCGCTGCCTGATTGGAGGCGCTGCTTCCGCCGCCAGGATCCGGGTGCCCAGAGCCCTCGCCTCCGCACAGCCCCCGACTTGACCTTGCGCGGTCCCTACCCGCCTGCCCGTCCGCGCTCACGCGCTTGCTCCGTAGCTGGCCGCCCTGGCAGAGGTTGAGCGAGGTGAGGCAGCGAGGTGAGGCGCGTGCGCGTGCGCGCGCGTGGCCGGGTCCGCGTGCGCGCACGCGGCTGCGTCGGCAGAGGGCGAGGGGCGGAGGCGGGGGTCTCCCGACTGCCTCCCGCAAGGCGTGATGCTGCAGGCCCACTGCGCAGGCGCCGCTCACTGCCTTGCCTGGGAAGCTTCTAGCTCTCACTGCCCTGGGGAAGTGCACCCCATTTGTGATATTGTGCAGGGTCCTCGCCACATGTGTGTCTCTGCCAGACATGGCAGCAGCGGGGGCCAGGGCCTCCCCTAGAAAGGCACACGCTGCAGGGTCGAGGCATCATCGTCCTCTCCCATCATGAACAGCACTGCCTTATTTATAGGCAGAAGGCTGGTGTCGCCAAAATGACCAATGGCAGTTTTGCCAGAATAATCTTTGCTGAGTCACATGCAGCTTGCTTTCTTCAATAGGTTCTCTTCTGCGGCTTGTCAACCATCTTGGCTCAGCCCTTGCCTTAAACACTTGTACACAACCCCTATTCACATCATGTATAGCCTCCCTGTTCCTCAGTTCCCAGTTCCCTGTTTCCAGTCTTTGAACCCCGGGACTCCTTGGTCCAAGCCTTGTTTGCACCCCTTTGCAGGGTGTTTCTGGAGCAGCACCCCCACACAGTCTTGGTTTCCCTGTCAAGCACCTCCATTCTTACACACTGCACCCTTTCCTGGCCTGCTTACATGGGAGCATTCGGGGGTTTGGTGATTCTTGAAAATAATTGATGCGCACCTGTGAGTGCTCTCTTTGAACAGGTGTAGGCCCAAGGTGGTCAAAGATACCTTCCCTTGCTGCTTCCATTGCCCTCCCTCCATTATGACTTTGAGGGCAGGTTGGGGACAATTAGATTGCACTGGACCAGAGAGCCCCGGGAATTCAGAGTCTGGGTTTCTGGATTACTCCTTCCACTGAAATTGCAGGCTGGCTTGTATGTGGGTGGTGGGGACAGAACTCAGGTCCTCCCTCTTGAGCCCCAAGCACTTTATTTACCTAGTGAGCCATTGCCTTGGCCTGGTGGTTTCCATTCGGAGATTGCAAAGTTGTGTGCTTTGATCACACCGACCTCTTGCCAGAGAAGCAACACCCTAGAGTCCAAAATTAACACAAAACTTTAACCATACTTTTTTATTTTCTCTAACGATCCTCTCATTCCTTTTCTAGTGTAGACTTCTAGATTTCTGGGGGCACCCAATGTCTACCCATCATCTCTTAGACAAACCGACACTGTGTTGAAATCAGCATGCTAAATGTTTCAATAGTTATCCTATCCTAGGGAGTCTAAGTCTACATTAAAAATGGCTTGGCTAAGTCATGAGAGGAAAGTAACTATGACGATCTAGTGCTCAACCCCATCAAAGAACTGAGAAGGGAAATAATATTACTTGAGTAAATAGGAAGTGGAATCAAACAACTTCCAAAATGTGCAACAAATGACAAGACAACTGGCTACCTGGGCAATCACCCGAAGTCTCATTTGCAACATTGGAGCAACCAACTTTGACTAAGACCTAGAGTAACTGACAGATCATTTTCAGAGGCAGGAAAGTTTTCAAAACTACCTTACCCTGTCTTGTCAAGGTTTAGCAGTCTTATTGCTTGTATCCTGCTTGTCTAGTCTGGACACCACACATTTTGTCAGTGGTTGAAGCAGGGGCCGTTCTTTGCCCAAAGGCCAGTTTTGCCAGGAGGAAAACAAGCTCCATGTGGAGTGTCTTCGATGCCCATCAACCTCTCTGCTGTAATTAGTGCTGCCAGAAGCAGACATATCTCACATCGAGAAAAGTCCAAGTTCTTAAACCCTTTTCAATGCCATATTTTGTAGGTCTTTTAAAGATTGAAAGAATACCTATCCATCTGCAATATATCTCTGTACATCTAGAAAACCTAACTAATATGACTACATTATAGATGGCTATTAACCTGTATTTCATATGTATTACATTTTTAAATGAACTACATAAACACAATACCTTAAAAAAGAGCATATATATATATTATAACAATATCAACCTTAAATATGTATCAATAGACCAAGATCCCTACCAATGCAAAGTATTCATCTCTATATCTTATCCTCCTTAAATTTTTAAAAAATTGACTGTTACCATTAATCACTTATAATCAACCCCCTTTAAATGAAAACAAACATAAACAATCATTTGGGGAATTTGGGCATAGTTTTCTCCAAATTACTTTCTGCTGTTTGTTGGGCAAAGTATTCTTAGGGTTCACGGAGACCTTGGAGGGGGGGTTCTTATTCCATTAAACCACATTAGCCTGGAAGAAAGCCACAGGTTCTCATCTTCTGTGGAAACAAAACTGAACCTCTTTTCCAAAGTAACACATCCTTAGACAAGTTACCTTTATATTGGTTTAACTTAGCAGCCCCAGGAATCAAATGTCTCTTTGAAGGAAAAAAATTAAAGAAAATACAATAATATACATAATCCAGACTCTCTATGTGTATATTCCATCTTTACATGGCTTATTTTTCTTTACTCTTTTAATCTATGACTGTCTGTACTCTTTTATATTACTTTTATTGTCTCTTTAAAGATTTTGTGTCATTTTTAAAATTATTAATTTCATTTTATAACTGTCTATACTTTTTTTTCTTGCTCCCAATGTACATTTACCCAACACTATAACCCATTCATCTGAACCTGTCTTTATTGCATATCTGTAATTATTTTCTGACCAGGAGCTCTTTGAAAAATTGCTAAGTGGACAAGGCTAGGACTAACTCTGTGGCCACGCCTGTTTGCTCCACCCTGTCCAACATGGTGGAGGCATATTCACCGCCTCTGTGAGCCATGCTCACCACCCCAGCTCCAGAGATGCATTGGGTCTATGTTGCCATTAAGCAATTTGTAGCACTCTGCTCACAAACCCTAAAAGCTCCATAGCCAGACCTCCCAAAAGAGCCAGAGGCTTTAGTGCCTTCACAAACCAGAAAGCCATCTCTTATAGAAACTGCACCTCTACTTGTCGCCAGCAAACAAAGCCTATCTGAAAAAAAAATGTAACTACCAAAAAGCCATGCTTAACACCATTCATTTGTGTCTAGAATTCCTTCCCAAGCTCTCTCAGGTTTTATGCAGATGTAGTTCCCCCACGTTGGTGTGCCATTTTGTAGACAGAGACTGCTTGTTTGTCCCTGGCCACCCAAACTCGAATAATCACCCAGAAACTATATTAATAACAACAATCTATTAGCTCAGGCTTCTATTTTTTTTTTTGGTTTTTTTCGAGACAGGGTTTCTATGTAGCTTGGTGCCTGTCCCGGAAGTAGCTCTTGTAGACCAGGCTGGCCTCGAACTCCCAGAGATCCGCCTGCCTCTGCCTCCTAAATGCTGGGATTAAAGGTGTGTGCCACCACCACCCGGGTAAGGCTTCTTATTAAGTAATACTTACATTTGAAATTAACCCATTTCTATTAATCTGTGTATCACCGTGAGACTGTGGTTTACCAGGTAAGGTTCTGTTCGGGCTTAAGAACTTTCTTAAATCTTTCTTCTTTGGCAGCTATATGTCATCTCCTTGACTCTGCCTACATTCTCTATATATTTCTGTTTGGATTTCCCACCTGGCTTTACTCTGCTAAGCCATTGGCCAAAACAGCTTTACTCATTAACCAATAAAAGCAACACATATACAGAAGGGCATCCAACTTCATCACTAAAGTAGTTTTGACTTTCTACAGAGCTGCAGTCGGCTGTGGTTTAGCTTGATGATGTTCATGGCTGTCTTCTTGGGGAAAAGAGTTCACTTTGGTAAGGAATTCTGACTTCACTGAAAGGTGTTCTCCATTTTCATGGACTCCAGTGCCATCTGTTTTCATTTTTAAAAGTCTCTACGTACCTCCATGGTTCCCAGTAATAACACCTGTGGCTCCTTGCCAGGCTACCTCACACTTTGGAAGGCCAGTTTACCCCTGCAAGATAAAATGGAATAAGGTGATAGCCCAAAGAAGATGTGTGACTCTGTCACCAATCTAGAACAGGATTTTGCTTAGTGGGTGGTCTTGCTCCTCAGAGAAGCTCATACCATTGCCCTTAATAGTTCACATCTATGAAACGGTGCAACTCCCTCATGATGCCCACCTCTTCCAAAGCAGCTTTTGGGACCCTTTTCTCACTCCCATTGTACACTGAGCTTCCATCTCTTACCTTGAATTTGAAAGTTCCCTTTGACTTCTATTCTATCCTAGCTCCAGTGACTGGTCCTGTGGCACTCTGCCTGCATGATGGTGGACGTGGAAGACTTGGTGCTAGTCTGAAATAGACCCTTTCTTCCTGTGCACCAGCATGGCCCCTGAGACCTAGTGTCTACCAAGGACTCAAAACACGTTGACTGAATGAATTGTGTGAACAAAATTCCATGGATACCAAAGGATCTTTCTTCTAGATTCTGTGAGTTGCAAGAAATGAAGTTTCTTTAAACCTGGGGCAGCTCTCCATGTCTTTTCACACAAGGAGGTGGGGGTGTGCCTTTCACATCACATCAACATCCACCCCGCAGTTCTCTGTTCTGTGTGTACCATACACTCCTTTTTCT